CCACCACCTGACGGGGGGGGGAGATAGAATCCGGACCAGAGGACCGCCTTTTGAATAAGCCCTCCCACCATCTCAGAGAGACCTAGGTTTCATCTTAGGCTACAAGCATCCTCCAGAGGACACGTCAGCAAGCCACACCAGCCCACCTTTCCCCTGACCCCTCCCCTCAAAGAGCCCGCCCAAAACCCTGGCCGTAAAAACCCTCTTGGCCTGTTAGAGACCCTCTTTCCTTTGTTCTGCTGGCCAGGACAGAGGGGGCCCTCTCGGGGTCAGCAGTAAACCTGCTGGGACCGCGGGGTTTGCAGCCCCTCGCTCCTTTCAGGCGGCCTCCTCCCTGCCTCCCCAGAGCACAGCGCCTCCTCCCACCCGTGATTCCTTCCTGGGCCTCAGCCAGGCAAGCAGAGCCTCCCCAAAAGCCAGTTAGTCCCTCTGGAGACTAACACCACAGGGAGCAAAGTGGGTGCTTCAGAGGCCCCCAGGGTCCTGGCCATCCCCGCTGAGGTCTCCTGCCAGAGGGTGACTGCCGTGGAGACTTGTGTGGCGAGGAAGGAGGGTATATGGGCTGTTGGAGCATGCGCGGGCGCGCGCGTGTGTGTGTGTGTGTGTGTGTGTGCGCGCGTGCAGTGGTGCTGGCCTTCTCTGCACCGTCCCCGCCACCGGGGCAGCAGTAGTGGCTGAAGGGGACAGCTTAGAAGGCTGAGCACACCTGCTCCCTGCGAGGTTTGAACAGGCTGAAGAGTGACACTTGGGGGGCTTGGACCTGAGGCCCCCAAGGGTGACAAGGGGCTTCTTCGGTCTGGGGAACTGTCCTGGGCACTGATGTTGGAGGCCCTTTGTCCCCCAGGCCTCACTCACATCCAGACAGCACTTCCAGGGCAATTCTTCCTGCCCTCGTCTGATCAGAGAGGCCCCAGGCCAGTTCGCCAGCCCCTCCTCTTCCCTGGCACTGCCTGTGGATGGGCTCAGCTCCTGGTCCTGCCCTCCACCCCTGCCTCCCTGGAGCTCAGCGCTGGGGCAGGCCAAGCAGTCTCCCCACAAGGGCGGCCAGGGAGCATTTTGTAGTTGGGGGAACCCCGAGAGTGGACAGAGATTTGCCAGGCAGAGAGGTGACTGGGAAGACCTTCCAGGCTTGGGGACAGCAGACTGGGGGGTGCAGATATACAGCAGCAAAGGCCTTTGGGAGGTGTGCATGTACATGGGGGAGGGGGAAAGATGGGGGAGCCAGCAGCCAGAGGTGGGCCTGGAGGGGCCCACAGACCCTCCCCACAAAAAGCCTTCAATACCAGGTGACAAAGCATTTCCCCCCAGTGCACTGGGCACAGAGAGGGCTTTGGGGGCAATGAAGGGTGGCTTGCGTGTTCTAGAGCAGCTCCTCTGGCTGCTGGCACCCAAGGGGCCCTGGACGCAGTGGGGAGCGTGAGGAGGTGTCCAGCATGACAGGTGGGGGGCTTCCTATCCTGAAGGGTACGTGTCACCCGCTGACGTGCTGGGCCCAGCTCCTCTGGCAGGGAGAGTGGCTGGAGCCCAGGAGGGAACCTGCACAGCAGGCCTTACCGTCAGGCACCTTCAGGCTTATGGTGCCCCTCAGTGGGGCTCCCAGGGGAGCGGGTTTTGGAGTCCCTCCTGCCCTTGGAGGTGAGCTTCAGGGTCTGGGGTGCCACCCCACAGACTCCCGGGGGCGTCTGGTGTCCCTGTGTGGGAACAGTGACAGCTTTGAATCTTCCTGCCCTCTGAAGTCAGCTTCCCTCGGATAATGAGGCAGCTGCATCAGCAGCCCCCAGGGCTTGTTACCAGGAGGACCGGGACCTGCGCTCACGTGGTGCGCATACCAGTGGGTGCTTCATGCCCTGAGACTGTTGCCACTCATGGCTCCTCCAAAACCCCAGTCCGCATTAGCCCCGGGTGAGGTCTGGTTATTAAGAAGCTAACAAAGCCGGGGATACATTACCGTCCACACATTTTAAAGGTGTCTTGAACGTATTTCAGTGTAGTTGGTTTCCTGCAGAATCATGCATATTTCATGTAAAAACACCACTGAGAAAGTGTCCCCCAGACGCCCAGAGGAGTCACACAGAGCAGGTCACGCCCAGAGAAGGGCTGGGGCGCCCGTGGAGCAGGCTGACCGAGGTTCCCCTTGGGGAGTGCTGTAATCCATTTGTTCCCCCGCCTCCCCGGTGTGCGGCCCTCACACCCCCTCTGCTTGCTGAGTGTGCTGGGCAGAGCCATGCATTCCGACCGGGTGGTGGGTGGCTCACAGCTTGCTTTCGGCATGTTTTTGCCTGAGGCGCTGCTGACTAATTATTTAGTAGGACTTTCCATTTAGGCAGTGTTTGGAGCACCTGCCTGAGAAGTAGGGGCTCTCCGTGCCTGCTGTAGATCACCGCTCACCCCAGGTTCTGGCTGGAATGCAGGTTCTGTGGCAGCAGGTGCGAGCAGGGCCTGAGAGGCTGAGGAATCCCCTGGGGAACTGAAATAAATAAACAAGAAACAAAGACAAAAACAGTAAGCTGCTTTCCTGAACCCTGCCCTGGGGATGCAGAGGAAACGTTTTGCTGGACAGATCACCCATTAATTAACTAATTAACCACTTGTTTGACCCATTCAAGAGATGTCAGGGCGTGGTGCCTGTGACTGGGGGCTGGGAGGGAAGCTAGGTGAGCGTCCTGGCCTCACGGGATCAGCCTCCTAGGGGAGGAGACAAGCCATCACTGGGTCCTCCGGGTGGGTCTCCCAGGAGCTCCTGAGGCTAAAACTTCAGGCCCCTCTTGGCCTGGGTCCCTACCAAGGCCGGAGCTCAGATGCAGGATTTGTGACATATGACTTTCTCTGCTACTGCGTGAAACCAGTCCGTTCCCACTCTGCTTGTAAACTCCCACACTGTGTAAGCTTCTGGCCCCACAATCCCTGTTTTTATCCCTGAATTTCAGAGAGCGACAGGAGGCAGGTGAAGGGTGGGGAGACCAGGTCATAGGCCTACGCTGGCCACTGCTGGCCAGGGCTTGGCAGGAGGTCCCTGGTGGCCCGAGTGAGACTTGGTCCGTGATCCCGACCTTCAGTGTAAGGTTTGGTTCTTGGAGGGGATGCCCATGTTTCATCTAAGACCAAGGCTCAAACGTCTCTGTGTGAAAGGGTCTATGGGTTTGGGGGGCCTGCAAGAGCTGGTCTTCTGTCCTAATTCACATGCTCCCTGGGCCTGACTTTTCATATATAATTTACCAATTTATGACCAGATGTTTCAATGTCATTCCCCTCGAGTATTTTTCAAACAAGGCTGGATACAACACATGGACACACTCAGAGCCGCCTCTGGGCCGGGTGGGGGCCACCCTTTGATTTCTTCAGGCTCCAGCAGAGCTGCTGCAGGGCCAGGCTCGATGTGCCCCCTCCCTGGGCTCCAGTCTCCTCACTGCGGCGGAGACACGGCTGCTGATGTCTGGGGCCCACAAACCCCCAGGGTAGGATTTGTCAAAGAGCTCAGGGGGCCCCTCAAAGGCCATGCCTGGTTGTGGGCCCATATGAAGGTGCCATCAGAGTACTCAGGGATGAGACCAAGCCCAGCAGCCCAGCGAGCCTGGGATGCTCAGACGTCCACCATAGAGCCCCCAACGCTTGGGGGGCGAGAGCAGAACAGAGGACGAGCGCCCCAGCATGGGCAGCCCACAGCCAGGTCCCCACCACACTTTTCGCTGTCCGCCTGGCGCTTCGCCTTCAGGGGCCCCTGCTGAGAGTGGCCACCCCCAACCCAGGCTGAGCCAGTCCCAGGCCCATCCTGGGCTCCGTAAGGGGGCTGGGGGCCACTGAGGTTCAGCGATCTCAGCCCCAGCAGCCGAGCCATGTGGCCACGTTCTCGCTGGTTCTGACCAGGGACAGACTTGGGGCTAGTCCCCAGACCCAGCTGGGGCTCCTCCAAGGCCAGGGTCACTCTTGGTCTCCCAGCCGCGTGGCTGAGCCCTGCCCGGAGCACTTTCTAAGGGCCAAGTGGTCACAAAGCCCATGGCACCAGTATTTCCCAGGTCACAAGCCAAAACCTTAGCTCTGCCTCCAACCTTCACCCCTTGTGGGCTGAAGCAGGAGCTCCTGGCTTGTTTCTCCCACTAGACAGGATTCATCCGAGCAGATGCTCCTCCAGCGGACCCCGGGTGCCCTTCTCTGACACCCTGGTGTGCAGCACCCCAACACCTGCTCATCTGCCTGGGTCTGTCCTCCCGTTTGGTCAGAGCACCCCCTCGCCAGCTCCAACAGAAAACTCTCCATGAGAGGTGAGCCCTTTGAATGGGGTCAGGAGCCCAACCAGGTGCAAATAGTTCCCCAACCCAGCCCAAAAGAAACCCCATGTGCTCTTCTCTCCCTGGTGGCCACGCCAACCCCTGACCCTTTAAAAGTAGGGCTCAGGAAATGTGCCCTGGGTGTGGCTTCTGCCCCCAGCGGGTCCTGTCCCAGGTACCCTTGCTGTTGGCTGGCCTTTAGTGACCTCCTGGCTCTGGGGAGCCTGGTCCCCACTCCTCCCCCTGGAGTTTTCTGGACCCTGCTGTCAGCCTTGGTGACCCACAGGCTCCCCCCAGGGTGCAGGGAGTCGGTCCCTGCCCAGCGCTGTCAGGAGGAGGCATCTGGCGGGCTTTGGTGCAATCCCACAGCCATGGGGTGGCCAGAGCAGGTGTTCCCACATGCGCCTCCCAGTGGCAGGGCTGGGGGAACAGGCTGGCCCTGCTGCCCTCCCCACAAGGCTCCCGTGCTTCTATTCCCACCGTAGCTTATCTGCCAGGTGGGCAGGGGCCAGCTATCTGTACCCAGCCCCTAGGTTCCCAGCCACTCAAGAGGCTGTTGGTTTTTCTGACTCCTTCTTCTGGGGTCTCCAGGTTCCTGTCAGGATGGGACAGAGAAACTGGATACCAGGGAGCCACCCACTCTGGGGGGCTGCAAGGAGACCCAGTGGGTGAGGTGACATCTCTGAAGACCCTGAAGGACGTCCCCAGGGTCCGGTGTCACAGACACGAGCTGGGGAGTGGGAAGACAAGCTTTATTCCACCCTCTTCCTGCCCATGGCCACTCCAGAGTGAGGACAGGGTGCTCAGAGGGTCTGGGACAGTCACGCACAGGAGGCCATGCTGGCCCGAGGTGACCGGGGACGGAAAGGCGAGTCTGCTACTGACCCCTGTGGCTGTGGGGCTTGGCCGAGGCACGGGTTCAGTCTCGGTGGGGGTGGATGTTGGAGGGCTGGGCAGGCTGGGGGTGGAGTGAGTGGCCATGCTTGGTCCACACACACACAGCTGACCCGGGCACCTGCTGACCAGCATGAGGCAGGCGGAGCAGCCGACGCACGCCCCAGAGTGGAGAGGTGCTGGGGCCTGGGGCGGCGACGCTTTCTCCAACAGTCAGGAAGGCCAAAGTGGCTGTGACCACCAAGGGACTGGACGGTACAGAGTAGAAAAATTCCTGCAGGCTCAGTAAAAAAGTGAGGCCCTCACACGACGCTCTGCTGGCCCCCTGCCTCCTCGAGCTCAGATGTGCCGGAGCCTCTGCCCTGGCCAAAGTCAATGAAGATCCCTTCGGAATCCGAGTCCACGGATTCCAGGATCTGGTCCACCAGGTTCTCAGGGCTGGAGGAGGGTGGGGAGCTGTAGGCCGGGCCGGGCTCTGGGGACTGGGCTGGGGGGTACAGTCTGCTGGGGCAGGGCCCCAACTTGGGGGCCGGGGAGGGTTTGAAGGCCCCGGTGGGCCCCTGGCTGGGTGTGTCGGCAAAGGCCTGGGGCTCCGAGCACGATGTCATCTCAGAGACCGAGTGCCTTCGGATGCCGGTGCCGCCGCCTGCCGCGCCCTCTGCCTCATGCTCCGCCACAGGGTTCAGCAGCGGCGTGTTGTAGCTCCTGGAACGCACCACCGGGTTCTTGGCCAGGACGTCCCCAGGGCGGGAGCGGCGCAGGAAGTGCTTCTCTGCAGACAGACAGACAGACAGAGCACGTGCCTCGGTTTCCCTGTGGACTGTCAACAGATCTTGACACTTGCTATGCACCAGCACTCTAGGCAGACAGCCCCTGCCTTTGGAGCTGGAGACAAACCCACATGGGTGGGCCACAGGTCAGGCAGCAGCAAGGGTCTGGACATGGGGGCAGACAGCAAAGGGCCCGTCCACTTGAGGCTGGGTGTGGTGAGGGCCCCCGGAGGGTGGGAGCCAGTGGCTGTGAGGGCAAGTTTCAGGCTCACACAGGACCCTGCAGCTCTGCAACGTGACCACCAGGTGGCAGGGATGAGCACAGAGAGTGGCTGGAGGCCTTTCCTGGGGGGCGGTGACAGACCCCTCCTAGCCAGGTAGGGGTCCTGTCGCCCAGAGCCCACAGAGGCTGGGCAGCTCAAGGTTCTCTGGCTGCCAGGCCCAGGCCTGAGCTGAAACACGCCTGGTGGGCACTCTGGATGAGGGGGTGGCTCCCAGGTAGCCCTTATGCCACTGTCCCCTCGGTCCGGGATGCTTTTGCTCCCCTCCTCCAGGCTCTACAGCTCAGCAGCCACCTCCCACCTTGGCCTTCCCTGAGCTCCCACCCGCGGCCCTCGTGTCACCTGGGCACAGGTCACCTTGGGGACTCATCTGGGGATTGGTTACTCATTGATCTGCCTTTACTGGAGGATAAGAGACCGTATGGGTGGCGCTTCATCTCTGCAATCCCCAGGACCAAGAAAGTGCTGGCACACAGTAGGTGCTCAGTTTCACATTGCTGAATGAAGCAGTGGGCTGTCTACTAAAGGAGCAATGTGGCTGGCTTTTGCTGGACATGCCAGGCAGCCCCAGGCAGCCCAGCCACCCCACCCCCACAACCCTGTCCCTCCTGTGGCTCCCCAACAAGCTGGGCATTTGCAAGTGCCACGCTGTCCCTCTCTGGCCAACTCGGGACTTTCAGGATTGAGCACAGATGTGATGTCAGGAGGGCAGAAGCCTCTGTGGGGCTCTCAGGGGGTCATCACCTGCCACTTATGGTCTCTGCTTGCAGGGTCCCCCTCAGCCCTTGAAGGAGGGACCCCTGGACACCCGCTCCATGTCCGGGGCCCAGCATGCAGCAAGGCTGGCAGATGCACAGGACAGGTTTGTTGCATGTTTGAAGAATGAATCCCCGTTAACTCCTTGGTAGAGCTGGATGGGGGCAGTGGTTACCTCACTCCCCACCCAAGACCCAGGGGACCCCTACCTAGGATGCAGGAGTGTGTGAAGGGGCCCTCGCTGGAGTAGAGGCCGTAGGTGCCCAGATAGGGCGACACCACCTTCGGGATCAGCGTCTCCAGGCGCAGGTAGTCCTTGGTCGCGCCCCGGGACTCATGCACCCCCTGCAAGAGGGAGGGAGGCGGGAGGCTCAGCAGGTGGCTGGTTCTCTGCCTCCCAGCAGAGCCGGGCTTAGCTTGAAGGCCGCCACAGTCCTGCCCCTCCCGCGACCCCCTGGGGTCTCTGGCCCCAACAGTGCCCACAGTGACCTCCCTTCCAGCCCTCTGAGTTGGGGCCTCTGAGTCACTCTCCTGCCTCAACACCTCCTGAGGCCGCCTGCCACACCCTGGGCTCTGACACTAGGTTAAGCGCCCTGTGCACTGGCCTCCTAGAGGCTCTGGGGAGTCCTGTGGGACCCTCCAGCTGGCCTCACCAAGAGAGGGCCAGGTTTACTCACCGGGTCCCCGGCCCCTGCCCTCACTCCCTCTGCCATGGGGCACTGCAGCCAGGGACTACTGCCCCCTTGGGGCCAGGCCCAGGTCCAGGCTGGGTAGTCATGGCCTGGCCACGTTAGGGAGCCTCTCCTCCCCCCCCATGGGCTCTAGGCTGTTTCCCCTGCTGGGTCTTGTCCCCCACAAACCCCCTCCCCATCCCTTCTACAGAGATTTGAAGGGCTCTCCCTCTTCTGGTTTCATCAGAGTCACAGCCTAAGGAAAGAAGCTGCCGACAGGCCAGCCTTGGCCTTGCTGACGGTGGGGGGTAAGCCCTGCCCCCCTAGGACCCCCAGCAGAGGGCTGGCACACAGGCCTTTAGTGAGTGCTTGCTGAATGAATGGGATCTGAATGAATGAACGACTGCACGACAGACATCACTCCTGACTTGGCTGTCAGCTGCATAAGGGACAAGATACAGTCAGGTAGGATGTTAAATACTAGTTGAAGATATCAAGAGATCTAAAATCAATAATTGAAATTTACACCTTGGGAAACAAGAAAAACAAGAGCAAATTAAGTCCAAAGTAAGCAGAAGAGAAGAAATAAGAGGAATCAAAGCAGAAATCAATTAAAATGAAAACAGGAAATTGAGAGAAAATCAACAAAACTAAAAGCCGGTTCTTTGGAAAGACCAATACAATACAATCAGCAAGTCTCTAGCCACGCTAACTAGGAAAGAGAGGATATTAACATTTAATACTATCAGAAATTACTAATATCAGAAATGAGAGCAGGTACATCACTACAGACCCCATGGATCCAGCAGTGTTTGGACAAGGGAGGGGGATTCCATGGGCACCCCCATAAGTCATCCAGAGAAACAGGAAGGACCCGCATTTCCCTGGAATTGCCTTCACCTTCAGCAGGAGTGACCTGGATGAGATGGAGCTACTGAGCGGTGCTGGCTGGCTGACAAACTTTGTGTCATTTCACTCCCAGAACCCGTTTACGCCTCTGCTCCCCAGTGCAGTGAGGAAATCAGGGCCCAGGGGCTGCATTATTTGTATGCTGCATTTCAGACACGTGGCTGTCACCCTGGCTACTGGGACCCTGTGAAAAGGAAGCTGACTCTGGGTGAAGCGCAGGGCACATGGTTGGCCCTCAGCACACACTGATCAGCAGCTGTGACCTCAGATCCATCTGGGACTTGAAAAAAGCTGGGACAAGGTCATTCAAATGAGGCCCAGGTTGGGGCGGGGCAACAGCAAAGGGCTGTAGATGCAGACGGCTATGGCACCCACCCACCAGGGGCAACACAATCTGGGGGCATGGAGGCCAAGCCCAGGAAGCTGTGTGAGGCACAGCAGCCACCAGGGGGCAGCACTACCCCCACCCGGTGGCCCACCTGGGTTCCGCTTAGGGATCAAGGTGCCACTGTCTGGCCTCTAAGCCCCAGCCCGTGGCTGCAGGCTCCCAGAGGCACCTCGGTGGGCTTTACATGGATTTCTCCCCATTACCCTCACGGGCTGGGAGGCCCCTTGCTTCACCCCAGCCAGGTCTGACCCAAAATCCCTCCAATCCCAATGGCAAGCCTGGAGGCCCACTGGGATGCTAGGACAACCACCAGCTCCCACCAAATTCAGCCCCCAACCCTCCAAACCTCCACACTCCCCAGCCCCTCCCTTGCTCTAGAATCTTCACTGGCTGTCCTGAGCTCCGGGACCAGCCTAAGAGACCTGAATGTGGTAAGCGGGGGTGGCTTCAGAACCACACACAGGGCTTCGGAGCCTGTAACCCTTGGCTCCTGGCCTTGTTAGCTCCCGACAAACAAGGGCTCTATTTCTCCATCTGCAAAATGGGGAGGCTGACCGTGCCTTCCCTAACCCTGTGACAGTGATCAGACCGTAGGGCGCTGTGCCCACCACAAGTGTTAAGATGCAGCAGTTTGCAGTGGGGCTGCTGGTGGCCCATCAGACCCCTGCCTTGGGCAGCTGCTCAGTGTGGCTGCCAACGGCTCATAGCTGCGCCCTTCCAAAGCTGCCTTTGCAGATGAAAGCTGTCTCCACCGGAAGTGTCTGGAACCAGCATGGGGAGCTGGGGTGGGATGGAGAAGAAAGGCTACCCGCAGCCCCACTACTGACTGGTGAGGGACATAAAAGCCCTGCCCCTGCCCCATGAGGGACAATGATGGTCCTGTTCACATGCCTGGACTCCCCATGGGGTCAGGCTGAGGGTAGCCTTCTCCTGAACCCACATCTTGGTCTAACTCCTTTTGTGCCCCCCACATTTCCCCTTCTTTCTCTCCCATACAGGCTTCTCCTGAGAATAACCTGTAACTCCCCACTGAGAGTCACATGGACCCCATCCTTGTCCTGGGCTCTGCTTCGGGGAAGCCTGGCCTGAGACACCCCTCTGCCCTGAGCCTGGCCTTGTGTCCATGAGCGCCCGAGACACGGGTGAGCAGCGGCTCCACAGGCCCCCCCTCACCTGCAGTACCAGCAGCATCTGTACAATGGCGGGGGGCACACGGGCGTGGGTGCGGGCCAGGGCCTCCTCTAGCTTCACGCTGAGCGTGATGGCATTCCGGAAGTGCAGCAGGGCCAGCTGGCGCACCGACGGCTCCTTGCCCTGCAGACGAAAAACACCGTGCCCCACCCTGCTGCTGTCACATGAGACCCTTGCTCCCCCCAGGGCCCCAGTTCTGAGGCCAGGTATAAGGGAATGGACCCACTGACCCCTGGCCCCCTTCCACCCTGGCATCCTCCCCAGATGACTCGTCCTGAGGAGATGGGGTCCAGTCAGCTCCTCAGATAAAGTCACTCAGGGCTACTGTTACACAAAAGCCCCACTATGTGCTGGGCGCAGCCTACTATGTGCTCCTAGAGCCCTCAGGAGGGAGCTGTCCTTATTTGCATCTTGCAGGTGAGTAAAAGGTTCTGAGAGATCCCGGGAAGTGTCCAGGTGCAGACAGCCTGTAAATGGCAGTGAGGGGCAGGAGGGTTCCCATCCCTGGGCTGGCCGTCTGGAGCCAGCCCACTGTGGAACACCACCGCAGCCCTGGGGCCCCGTAGCTGGAGGGTCACACACCTGCACTGGGTAGAAGATGGCCTGCAGCGTGGGCAGCACGTCGCTGAAGAAGAAATCCCATGTCTCTGCCAGCGAGTCCAGCAGCTTCTGTCCTGTGGGCACACTGCTGTCACGGCTTGTCCCTGATGGGCCTTGGTGGACACATCCCACTCCCCCAGGTGGGGGGGACGCAGGAGCCGAGGGCTGGGCTCTGGGCCTTGGAGGCCCCTCTCACCCCGGTTGGTGTACAGGGTGCTTGAAGCTCTGTGGCCCACTGCCCACTGCTTAATCCCCCCTTTCCTCAGTGTCCCCATTAACCAGAGGGGACAGCAACAGGGCCCCCACCCCAGAACTGGTGGGATGAAATGAGACCACGCAAGCCCTGGAGCAGAGGGAGTCTGGGAAGGGTGCTGCCGGCTCCCTGCACAGCCAGAACACATGCCAGACCTGCACAGTGCGTCCCCTGGGGGTTTTAGCCCCACAGCCTTGTCCCGTCCGATTGGCCTACGGACCTTGCCAAGCAGGCGAGAAATCCATCCGCCCAGGCATCCACCCTTCCTTCCTCTTTTCCCCTGTCTGTCCACCTGTCCATTTACAGAGCACCTACAGGCACCCAGGTGATCACAAAGAGCCCCAGTCCCACTACATGACAGGGAAGCAAGACACTGAGTGGTGTCTCCGAGAACCATGGTGAGCAGTGACGAAGAGACAGCCTCCAAGAGGTTCAGGTCTCTTCCTCAAGGGCCTGGGTCACCACCCCAGGCTACTGGAGGTGGGATCTGGGGAGCCAGGGAGGGCTTCCCGGAGGAGGTGCTGCCAAGGTGATTAGGAGGATGGGTTTGCCAAGGTGACCAACGTCCTTGGAGTGTGAACCCCAAAGGTAGGTGTGTGGAAAGCAGGCGTTTGGATAAGCTTTACGGGCATTTCTGCCGGCCCTGGTGATGCAGCGCCATCCTGAGGGTGGACAGTCGTGGAGGATGGGGACAGCTGAGTGTCCCCAGGCTGGCTCTGGGCTCCCCCAGGAAACGCAAAGTGCTGAACCCTCAGCCCTTCTGCCCGGAATGAGCGGATACAAGGGTGCTGGGTCAGGGATAAGGAGACCCTGGTATGTGTCACCAAGGCTTCTACTGCTTGGTGGGACCCCCACCTGGAAGCCAGGCTAGTAAATGGCTGGAGAAAAAGGGGACATGGTAGAGGTCTCTGGGTGAGGGCAGGGAGAGGGGAACACACTGGCCTGCTGGCTTCCCTGTGTGCTTCTCATGCAGGACCACCTAGGGCTTTCCATGGGAACAGGGCCTGATGGGGGTCTCAGCCCCTTCTCACTTTCCTTGGGCTCTGGGCCCACGCTCCCGGCACCTGTAAACCCCCCAGGTCTATGTAGGTGCTGGGGCTTAGGGAGGGGACTCGGGTTGGGGGTCTGGGAAGCCTGTCTGGCAAAGAGGGGGGCCCAGCCTCCGTGCATAGCCTGTTTGCTGGCATTGGGGTTCCCTGCCCAGTGGCCAGACCCTGATCCTCCAGGGGGGCCCACACCTGGCTCAGCAGAAGCAGGATGGGTGGGTGCTCACCACCCTTGGGGCTCTGTCTGCACACAAAGATCCTTCAGTTCCCAGCCACCACCAGCAAAAAGAAAGACGGCTCAGTTCCCAGGGCCAGCCGTGGGGTGGCTCCGAGCGCAGGCCGCCCTCCCGCCCACGGGGTGGAAACGCGGCAGGAAGCAGATGCTGTACAGAGCCGGGCCCACCAGAGCCCCACGCTGACCAGGGCCAGGGGGCACACCTGACCCACCAGCCAGGTTCTCTGCAGGGTACTGGTCTGGGGGAACCGGGGGTGGGCAGGGTTACACAGTTAGGCGGCACAGCACCGAAGCCCCGTCCTGCTTCGCTGTGGGACCCCAGGGATGTCCCACAACCTGAGCCTCAGTGTGGCTCTCGGTAAAATGGGTGTGACAAAGGCCCTTGTGCGCACAGGGCTGAAAGCTGCCATGTGGGTGCTGGTTGCTGGCAAGATGCCCAGTGGGCCTGTCTGTGTCCACTGTGCCCACGTGGCAGGACCCAGGCAGTGACCGTGGCCCCAGGCTGGGTCTCCCTCGGGGGCAGGTCTGTCTGTCTGCCTTACTCAGCCCAAGTGAGCTAAGGGCTGACCGTGCAGGCACCAGAGATGGGAAGGAGCCCAGCCGATCACGGCTCATGTCCCACCAGGCCTGGGGAGAGCCAAGGACAGTGACGACCGCAGGGTCTGGCTGCTGAGGGCCTCCTCTGCTGCAGCCGGGACCCCCACCAGCTGTCTCGCCGAGACCAGCAAACCACGGCCTTGGAGGCGGTCCTGGGAGGGCAGGGCAGCTCCACCTCCAGGCTGGCCTCCAGGCTTCACATTTCCAGGAACTGCTCTACTCAGGACCTGATGTCCTCCTGAATAGACCTACTCGAGGGCCACCACCTCTGTGCAGCCCTCCCTGACTGTCAAGGTGGAACTAATTTTTTCTTCCCTAGGGCCTCCCTCTGCCCTGACATTCATCACACTGGTCCCTCACTATCTGGTCCACACCTGTCCTCAACTGAGCTATCAGCCCCTGCTGGGCAGGGCCTGGATCTCCATCTCCAGGTCCCCAGAGGCCACCTGAGGCCTAATCTGTACTGAGCACATGGATGGAGCCCATCCCACCTACTCTGCTGAGATGGGGACACTGAGGCCAGAGGGAAACAGTAGGTCTTTGGCCAGATGGGACTGGAAACTGGGCCCTTTGGTATCCAGCCTGGGGCTCCCTGCCTGTCCCTGAGGCCAGGGGAGGCTGTTTAGGGTTGGCACCTACTGGGTGGCCTGCAGACACAGCTGCTGTCGGCAAGACCCCACCAAGCTGCACAAAGCTCCCTTCTCCAGCGATCCCAGCTCCTGGGGCCAGAGCTGGTGGGAGGCAAGGCCCACTGGAATGTGCAGAGTCAGGACTGGGGTGCAGAAGGGCATCCCTACCAGGCCCAAACGCTCCCTGCTGGGCCTGCTGGCCTAGGTGCTGCCTCCTTCAGGAAGCCTTCCCAGACCCTCGGAGGCGCATGCCTCCCCACGCCCATGCCCGTGGTTCTCCGAGCCCTTCTCGGGCTCCCGCCTCAGATGCTCCCGCTGATACATGCAGAAGGGGTGCAAAAGGAACAGGGGACATGCGGTTCTGAGTTCATGCAGAGCATGCCAGGCCACCAGGCCCGTCCCCTCTGTGAAATGGGCTGAAAGTCCTTCCTTCCTGGGTCGTAGTGAGGACTGAAAGAGGAACTTGGAGCAGCAGAGAGAAGCACGCAGGTCAGGAGCTAGGCTGCTACATAGCAGCCCTGCGGCCTGGGAAAGCTACTGAACCCTCTGTGCCTTGGTTTCCCCATATGTTCAGTGGCTACAACGATGCGACCTCCTTTACAGAGTTGTTGGGGGATCCAACCAGTTAGTGGATGGAAACACTCAGGACAACCTGGTGCTGAGCAAGCACAGGCCCGGTGCCTATGAACGTCCATGGAGCCTGAACCCAGCACAGGGCCGGCAAACAGCAGGCACCTGGTAAAGGCGCTCTGGTTTGAGCTGGTCCTCCCATAATTCCCTGTCCCTACTCCGATCCACGCCTGCAGAGAGGTGCTCACTATGGTCCCCAGGACTTTTGGTTCTGGGAGTGCCAGGACCTGGAGGAGGAACGGTGGTTGGTCTGGACTCTCCCATAATTGCTGAGGCCTGCACCAGGCAGCGGCCCCGCTGGGCCTCTAGAAGGGCATGTGTGTGCTGGAATCATGTGACCTGAGCTTGGACCCGCCGCCACGCCTCACCCACAGTGTGGCTGTGGACAAATCGCCTATCACTGTGCTGCTGTGCCACGGGAACAATGACTGGAGACCTCACAGGGTGGATGTGAGCACCAAAGGAGAAATCTGGCCTGGAATGCCCAGGGCCAACGTGGGCCCCAAACCCACACGGGTGGCAGATTCCTGCTCCAGCCCTTCCCTTGGGAGGATCAGGGTGACCCTGGCCCCGCACCAGCTCGCCAGTCCTCAGAGGTCCTGATGGGCTTGTCCCAGGCTGCTGGGACGGGCTCCCAGGGGCCAGAAGGCTGTGGGCAGGGAGGTGGAGCAGGGCTTTCTCCCTGACTTTTCTGGCTCCCCGGGGCTCTAGCAAGCTGGGGGGGGGCAGATGCTCTCCCCAGCAAGTTCCCCTCCTTGGGCCAGACCCCAGGCCTCAGCCCTGCCACCCCTCAGGCATCATTTCTGCCCCTTCTGAGCCCTCCAGCCAGGAAAGCCACACCACCCACCCAGAGCCCCTGGCAAGGCAGGCATGCCATGGTTCCCAGTGGCACACCCTCAGTGCCACTGCCCTGCAGCACTAGCCACTGTGCCCAGTCGCCATGCCAGCAAGCAGTACGGCCCGCGCGCATCCCAGCCATGGCTGCACTCACCCTCGTAGAAGCGGATCTTGTCCCGCAGGATCACCATGCCCTTTGTCAGCAGCTGGTTCTGAAAGGCACCAGACACCCCATCACGGACCGCGGGAGGCCCTGGCAGGTAGCGCCCCCAGAGTGCACCCGCAAGCAGCTGAGGCCCAGAGGGGAGGGGGCTCACTGACAGCCCACAGCCGGCCTGCTGCAGAGCTTGACCCTCAGCTTGCCCCGGAGGACAAAACTGACCCCATGGGCTGAGCCAGCTGGTGGCTGCCTGCACATCCCACAAATGAGGGGCCTGGTGACCGACGGCCTGGCTGTGACCCGCTGTCACTAACGTGAGGTTCAAACTGCAGGGGCCCTGTGTACGTTGCCCTGGCATCTTGGCTGAGGAGGACACCATGGAGTCCCAGCACCACTGACAGGAGCCGAAAGGTGGAAATAACCTCATTCCCACCAACAGGCAAGTGGACAAAGCGGTGTATGGAGGAGAGGGAATATCACTCAGGTGTAAAAAGGAATGAAGCACTGACACGCACCACACGTGGGTGGGTCTCTAACACTGCTCAGTGGGCGCAGCCAGCTGCAAAGGCCATGTGGAGCAGGATTCCACATGACGAATGCCTAGAACATGCAAATCCACGGGCATGAACCCAGACTGGCAGCTGCCTGGGGCTGGGGGAGGGAAGCTGAGGGTGTCTCCTAGTGGATGAGAAGTTCTGGAATTAGTGGTGGTGGCTAGTCAACTGTATGAACACACTAAATGCCACCACGCCGCATGCCTTGAGTGGGTACACTGTCTGTGAATTATACCTCAGTGAAGCTGTTCAATTAAAGACTAACCCTACCCCATGGGGAGTGACGACCCCAGCCCTTCTTGCTCTCCTGGGGCAGAGTGGGCACCATCCGAGCCGGCACCAGGATGCCCCTTGCTGGCTAGGGTCTCGGTGGGCAGTTCCCATGTGCTCATGGACTTCGCAGGCCTGCTGACCACATGGGGTGTAATGAACATGAGGTGCTGAAATGCCCGAGACAAGGGACTTCGGCAATGCTGACACCATGCTACCACTGTCACTGCCACCAACAGGCACTGGAGCCGGGCAGATGACCCAACCCGGACGTCGGGGAGCTGCTACTGACACTCCAGGAGGAGGTGGACTAATCACGAAACTAACCCTGAATTCGCCCCATGCCAGGTGCAGCACTAAGACGTCACCTGCATCTTACCATTAACCTTCAGGAAGTTAGCCCAGCCTGGCTGCAGAGCAGAGACACCCACCTGCAGGTACTCTGTGAAGAAGGACCCCAGCTCTGTCTTCAGCAGCTGTCTGTGGGTGGGGGAGGGGAGAGGAGAGGGAGGGAGGGCAGGAATCAGAGACGGCGGGCAGGCTGGAGGTGGGGGCAGGGGCGCCTGGGCAGCGGGAGGCCCACCGCTCAGCGCACCCTGAGGGCAGGCCCGGCCCACCAGCCCAGGGCTGCAGGGGCCTGGGCAGGCCACAAAATTCTGAGGCCAGCTGCTGTGGCCCACCAGGCACCTGGCTCCCCATCCCCCACCTCCCTGAAGGGCCCTTAGGGAAGAGGGCCACAGGTGCCTCAAGGGTGCCCAGGGCTGGGCCTCCAACACCACCTGCCCAAATCCCAGGCTGGCGCACGCCCGAGGCTGGCTCCTCACTTTCCTCCTGCAGGTGTTGCCTGCAGCTTCCGCAGGTGAGGCAAGACAGGCTCAGAGAGGTCAAGTGACCTGTCCATGGCCACACAGGACGCACCGAGTTAGGACCTGGCCCTTGTCCTTGGTATTCGTGTGGACATTTCCTTGTCCTGCGCACCACCAGGGGCAGATGGAATGGTGGCTGTCATATTCCAGACTGACCGCAGACCCAAAAGGCTCGGGCGTTCCTCGCGTTCTTTATGTTCTGTATCAAAAGCCTCCATCAGGAACGGACCCTGGATTACAGGCGGTCTTCTGCATGGCTCTGGTAGTTACCATGATTTGCCAGCCTCCCAACAACATGGCTCAAATTTCATTTATCAGGCGTAAGAACTGTGGGCAGTTCCACAAACCACGATCTCTGCTGCCGGCTCTCCAGCCCACAGGTCCTCACATGGATAACAGAGGGGCACAGGATTGGCAGCCGATCCCGTCACTCCTTTGAAAGACAGTCTGTGACCGGCCCGTGTCATCCTTCTGCGCGGACAGCAAAGCTTCGGTCCTCATCCTCCTTGCGAAAACCTCACGTGACACTTCATAGACATGAGGAAGCGCGAAAGAGGAACTGGCCAAAAACATGGAAGTGCACCAGATAAGTGAAAGTGGTATGCTGGCCAGGCAAGCTCTGTGCAACCTACTTGGAAGGTTTTTACCAAGAAATGAAGCACTTCTCCGTGTTTCTAATGTTTTAAAAGTGTACTAGACACCTAACTCATTTAACTAGTGTTTTAATTTCCCTATATATTTTTAACCACAGTCACAGAGCTTTAAATATTTTTAACACAAGTTTTTAAAGATCATGGAACAATCGTGATTTCCCCTATTGATTAATGAGATCACTTTGCAGCTCTGGGGCACATTTTCAGGGCCTTGGGATGCCGGGCAGAGAGGGACTGGTTGTATTTTTTTTTTAAAAAACCACACATTGAAGAAAAAAACCCAAAAAGCCTTGCCTCTGCAGGCTGCCCCCAGGAGTCAGGAGGGAACAGTCACCAGCTCCTGCACCAACCAGCTTGCTCAATGTTGGAGCTGAGCCCATGTGGCCCTCGGAACCCACAGTCCTCAGTCTGAGGCCAACCGAGGAGCTGCTGCTGACAGATGGGCCACCCCAGACAGACGCCCTGGCAGCAGCGTGTGGTGTCAGGATGGGCACAAGAAGGCAGAAGGCAGAGAAGCCTGGGCCACTGAGCACAGGGACAGTGGCCTTTCCCAGCTGATCTCGACCCAGGGTGACTGGAGGCCTGGTTCAGTTTAAGAAGTTGGGCACTGCATGGGCAATGCCATCTGGAACAATCATGGTGACAAGATGTGTGGGTCCTTGTGCAGGTGCCCTCTGTGCCCCAGAGTGACTTATTCTCTAAGGTTTTTCTTTATCTGGAAAAACTATATTGCAAAGTGTGTCTGTTTCTGCATCTAGGAAGAAAGGTGGTCAAAAGAATGGATCAAGAAAGAGAGCTAGACATGTAAGTGTACATTAATGATACCAAGAAAAAAAAAAAGATTGAGAAAAAAAGAGAGCTAGATTGCAGGCTGGACTTCATCCAAATCAAACCCCGGTGTTTGAAAAGAGAAAGTGAAAAGACAACTCCTGGGACAGGAGAAAAGAATCTGGGTAGAGTCTAGATTCTGAATATATAAAGAAATCTTAACATTAAAAAATGGGCTAAGGGTCTAACAGATACTTCTCCAAGGATGACACACAAGTGGCCAATAAACATATGAGAAGATGCTTGGCATCACTAGTCGTCAGGGAAGTGCAAATCAAACCACAGGATGGCACTTCACACCCACTAATAATGTTAAGAGTGAAAAAAAAAAGGAAAATAACCAGTATTGGTGAGCATGGGGGGTAATGGCAATCTCATTCACAGCTGGTGGGAGTGTAAAACGGTGCAACCACCATAAAAGTTGAGCAGCTCCTCAAAAGGCTAAACGTACAGTCATGTTAAGACCCAGCAATTCCGCCCCCAGGGATATGCCCAAGGGGGATGAATACCCCTTCATGCAGCTCTCATACGCGCGTGGTTGCAGCACATTAGTCGCCAGGGCCAAAAGGTGGAAACCCAAACCTCCACCAACAGATGAATGTATAAACACAACGGCACGGTGGCAGGATACCTGGCCACAAAAAGAAACAAAGGACTGATACACATGCCAACACGGGTGGACCTTGAAAGTGTGTGATGTGAAATAAGACAGGCACAAAGGCCTGATGGTGTGACAGGCATATAATGTGTGATGCCACCGGCATGAAATGTTCAGATTAGGCAAATCCACAGAGATAGAAAATTGACTGGTTAGCCCCCCGAGGCTGGGGGACTGGGGTGGACAGTGACGACAATGCTCCGGAATTAAATAGGTTGCACCATCCTATGAATGTGGTCAAAACCACTGGGTTTTACATTTTAAAGGGTGAATTACATCTCAAAAAATTTATATATCTAATGGGAGATAAGAGAGTGACAGCCAGACACCAGGGTCCTGTTATTATCCTCTGTCTGAGGACTTGGGCACGCCCGGGCACAGCCGAGGGGCACCCCTGGAATCTCGCTCGCCAGCAGGAGAACCAAGGGGAACATCTGGGTAACGGGGCAGCTGGTGGCTCCAGTCAGGAGGCTCTCTCGTGGGAGCAAAGCTGATGACTAATCACGGATTTAATGTGTAATTACGTTCACTTAATGTGGCCACATGACGGAGAAGGGCTGGGCGGGGGCAGAGCTGAGGCACCCGCAGGCCCTGGAGTCCCAGGCCCATGAAGCAGCCCTGTGCCCTCTCCAAGCCTCAGTTTCCTATCTATAAAATAAATGCTCCATTTTAAGGTGCCCACTCTCCTCAAGGCTGCAGTGAAATTTAAGGCACAGAAAGCTCATGGCACAGGCTGGCACAGAGCAGCCTCCACAGAAAGACAGTTCCTGCTAAGTGATTCCTGGCATTTCATTTTCAATGGGCTAAAAAGAAGTTGCCCCAAATAACCCAACTGCCTGGAACTCCATGTCTCATGACACCCTGGACTCTACCTGTTTCTTGGATAAGGATTCTGGGGCTGGCGAAGGGGGCCTGGTGCCCAGGGAAACTTCTCTGCTCTCCCTGCGCCACTCCAGCACACCGTCCTGAGAGAGGCTGCCTGCTCTGAGCCAGCCCCTAAGGGCTAGGGACAGGGACGGAGACTAGTGCTACAGTCCCCATGGAGAGGAGGCAGCCAAGAGCCAGACAATCGCCACCACTGTTTGTGCCCCTGTAGGGGAAAGACGCACAATTGCTGGGCGCTGTGCTGAGCGCTCTGTCCATGCATTTAGAAATATTTCCTTTTTTGTTGTTGAGATGTCCAGCAGATTTTTTTAGGCTACCTACAAACTCCTGTTTCCCTAAGAAGAGACATATTAGGAAAATAGGGCTCCTGGGCCCCACTTCTAGGCAGCCAGATGAACCAGGGTAAAGCTGGACTCCAGGACAGGTTGCACATGCTTGACCTGCGAGGGGCAAAAACTCCTGCTGTGCAACCCCAGCCAGACCCTTGCCCTCCCCAGGCCTGTTCGCCTGTCTGGAAGGGCCCTTCCTGCCCTGCCACACTGGGGTGGAGTGTTCTTCATGAAAATCTGATCTCTGTCTTGATTTCTCTTTTATTCCTGCCTTGACCTGACAAGGTGGTTTACTGCCCATTTGCCCAGATATTCTTCTGCAACAAGGACAGGGGAGCACAGGCCAGGGTGGGAGAGAAAGCACAGAGAAACAAGGCCTGTTTGCAGCAGCTGTGTGACCCCTGGCAAGTCTCTTGATCTCTCTGAACTTCGACCTCTTCCACTACCAAGCCAGACTACCATGCTGGCCTTGCGGACTCCCTGAAGAGGCCGGCGGCGCCTACTCAGAGGTGGCCCTGCAGTGCCAGGCCATCCTGCGCTCCTCCACCAAAGCTCATTTCTTGGCTATTCACAGGAAATGAGGAGCGTACGGCTGGGCTGTAATTGCTTTTCCAGGAGTGACACTCCCGTCATTAGGCAGGTGGGTCCTTCCTCTTTAACAGAGTAAATATCCTTCGTGATGCTCAACACCAGCAGGGAATGTGGGTGTCACCTTGAGCCACTGTCCAAGTCCCACCCCGTCTCCCCGAAAAGGAGTCCTTGGGAGAGGTGGGGCTGAAGGCCTCTGGCCTGGAAGCCACGTAACCAGGGCCTGCGACCAAGGTCCACAATGTGGCCTGGTGGTCACTGCCTACCGTGGCTCTAAGGGTGGACCCTCAGGCGTGGCTGGTGGACTGGGGCCTTGCTGGGCCTCCCCCTCGGGTGCAGGCCCCTCTATCCCCCCACTCACAGACCCCAGATGGAGGTGGCCACTTACCGGACACCTTCGTTGAGGCTGAAAAGTTCATGGTCGGGCAGCCCCTTGCGCTGGAAGACAGCGATGACCCCGTTGTGGATGCTGTAGTCAGGGAGAGGAGTGTTGTCCAGAGGCCCCTGAGACTCCTCCTCGCCCTCCCAGGCCTCCCTTCCTCCTTTCCTCTCCCAGCAGCCCCTCCAAGGACAGAGCAGGTCCTTTCTCTTAGAAGACCATGGATGCAGAAGTTGGCCATCCCCATGGGACCCAGTCTTGACCTCAAGATCCTGCACCTCCAGCCCTGGATCACCAGGCACCTCCCAATTACCTCTCTAGGGCGCCCTGTGTACCCCATGCACACTCTTTCCCTTCCCATGTTCTTGAACCCTCCAGGCCCAGGCCAGAAATTAGGGGCCACCCTTTGATCACCCATCCTGCACCCAACATAGCCAAGTCTGTCGGACTCCCCATGGGTGTCAAGGTGCCCCAAGCTGGCCTTGCTGTACCCAGCCCCACTGGGGAGGCTGCCTCTGGCCACAGGGCCTTTGCACATGTCCTTTCTCTGCTTGATAACCTCCCCCAGTTTCATATCTGCTTCCCACAGACCACAAGTCCTGGCCAGCTTTTACGGCACTGGTCAGTGTGTAACCACACATTTATGCGTGATTTGTTTCATTAACTTGTTTCCACCACTACCTATAAACCTCAAGAGCACAGGGCCCTGTGTTGTTCATGATTGTATGCACAGTGCCTGGCTCAAAGAAGCTTGGTAGGCATCTGGTAGCATTCAACCTTGACCCATGCCCTCCAACGCCAATCAGCCCTAAAGTTCTTCTGACCCAGTTCCACCTCCTGGACCTCCCTGCCTCATCCTCCTCTCCCTCCCAGCCCAGGGCCCTCCCCGATCTCCTAGACCTCTGATTTTACCCCACGCATCCCGTCACTTCCCTGCCCAGGCCTTCTGGGGTGGCTACTGCCCTGTAGGTACAGCCCAAGGCTTGGACGTGGCACCAGGCTGGGCCAGAACAGCCCCTCTGGGCACTCAGGGGCATTTGGCACTGCAGTCTCAGACCCTCCTGGGGGCCACATCTCTGGGTCTTTGTACCCACAGTCCCTCTCCCCTACCTTGAAGGCCCTTTTTTCCTGTCTACCAAGCAAGCAGCTATTCATTTATTGAAACCTCAGCTCAGAAGCCACTGCCTCCAAGAAGCCCTCCTGACCCCTGTCCTTCCTGTGCAGACTTGTGTCCTGGCATTATGCTGACTTACTTTCCTGTTAGTCCCCTCACCAGCTGCAGGCTCCCCGGCGTGAGACAGGTCTGGGTGGCACCACTGCCCTCCACCTAGAACCCAGTCACCACCCAGAAACACAGACCAGCTGCTGTGATTCTCAGTGTGGAGGGGACTGCTGGACACATGCTACTGTTAGCGTCCTAGAACCGGCAGTGGCCTCCGCGCCAAGCTCCCGTGGCCCTCACCTGCCTTCAGTAGCTCCACCCTTCCCAGCAATGTGGGCTGGCCACCCACTCTGCAAAGGAAGACACTGAGGTGCATTGAGGTCAAGTCCCCTGCGGGAGGCCACAGAACTTGCCCAGCTGCCCCCTCTCCCTACACAGAGCCAGGGTGGAGCAGAGCCCCACATCCCAGGTGGGTGAGGGAGGCTCCAAGCAGCGGACGACCCTACGTCCCACAGCTAGTCCCGGCCCGCCTGGGAACCAGCTCTGCCCAGGAGCTATCTCACCACGCTCAGCGAGCACGCTGGCCTTCGGCACCTGACCTGTGGCACCCGACTATGCCGGCCCAGTGTCGGAATGCTGCGTTATTTGCATGTCCAGGCACACACGGACTCTGACATCTGTGTCCTGTCTCCATACAGGGATCGTGAGTGTGTCCACCCCAGCCTGCTGTAAGGATGAAATGCCCTGCCAGGGGGTCATGGCCAGGGCCATGCTCACCTCTGTGAGAAACCCTGTGGACCCAGCCCCACGACCGTGGCTCCTTGTTTACAGACTACAAAAAGAAAAAAATCTGACGGGGAGTCTAATGGCCACCAGGAGGCCAGCTGTCCTGTGGCAGCTGCCACCCTGGCATCCCAACAGCTGGAAACTAATGCCCAGCCCTGTGGGGGCTGGTGGCGGGGGTGGCTTGGTGAACAGCACAGGGGGTCAGCTCACCCAGTGTGAGTGACCTGCCAGGAAAGCCTGGGGATGTGGCAGTCCTTTCTGATCACCGCCCCGGGCCACCATCAGGCAGAAGGGACAGCCCATCTGCAGGTCAGGGGTCAGGGCCCTGTGTCACCCTGCACTGCCTCGGGGCCTTCATCCTGGCTGCTGCCTCCCCCAACCATCCCTGACCCCCAGGAGGTCAGGTGTCTGCTCCCTCACACCTATGTCCCTGGGCGTATCTGACCATGTGACCAGTCTTCCCTCTGGGGAGGGGAGGTCTATCTGGCCCACTCTTCAGCCCCTCTCCCCCAGCCTGGCCTGCACTGGGGCTGCACAGGGCATCGCCCTATGAGGGTGTGTCCGCGAGCTAACACCCTTGGGTTCTGTCACCTCCCGTATCTGGGCAGCGCCCCACCCGGCCCAGGGGACGCCCTGGAGTTCTAGGCACACCCTGCCCACCCCAGCCTCCTGCCCCGGGGGCTCTGTTCTTGGCTGCCTGCCTTGGCCAAGTGCCCTGACCCTCTGAGCCTCAGCTTCCCCCTCCATACAACGGATTCAAGATTACAGCTCCTGGAAGAAGACAGTGCCGGGCAGGGCCCGGGGTTAGGCTGTCACAGCGTCTGCAGCAGTGACTCCGAGGCGGGCGAGTGGTGCGCCCCAAGGCATCCGCACAGCTCAGCCATCTGCTCTGCGGTTTTCTCAGTGTCTTCCTTCTAACCACCATGAGGGTGGGTGGCTACAGCTCAGGTCACAGAAGGAAACCTGGGGCTTGGAGGAGCCAGGGAGGTGCCTAGTCACTCCACCTGATACTGGGCAGAACCGGAGCCTGGGCTGCAGGTCCCCCACCCACCACGGCTGCCCAGAAATGACCCTGTACCCTGTCTGGATCTGCCAGGGTGGGGGACAGGCAGGGCTGTGCCCTTGCCCTCTCTCCAGCACTAAGGGCTCAAGTTCCCCGTTCTTTCCAAAGTCCAAGTTGGGTAAACAAAAAAACCTTGCTGTCAGCCACTGGGGCAGAGGAAGGGTGGAGAGCAAGAGGCCTCATGTGACTTTCATTCCCCCTGAAATAGAAGTGAAAGCCCAGCTGTCCCAGCCTGGGGCCTCGCAGACCAGGGGAGGGCAGGCCCCAAGCCGGAGGTGCTGGCAGGCGGCCTTCGCGGGTGCCTCTGGGTGAGACCCTAGTGGCGCCACCCCATCACCCCGAGCTGCCTGCCTTCACTGGGCAGGACCAGGACCAAGTCCCAGCGTATCTTGCCTGGGCACTGGGCGGCACGCGGTGAGGGGGAGAGGTGCAGGGACCTTGGAGAGGCTCCAGGGCACCCCCGGCAATGCTGAGGCCTGCTGCCCTGGGTGGTCAAGTTGGTAGGGGAAGGCCTGCGTATAGGGCTCTGGGGGAGCAGCCTGCAGCTGTCGTGGCTCAGGCTGCGGCCCCAAGGGGGGTCTCTGGTCCCCCATCGCCTTTCTCAGTGTTGCCCACCTGTCCACAGAGGAAGCCTGGCCTCTAGTGGGTCAAGTCAGCGCACCTCCCGGGAACCCTAGAGAGGCTGAAGCCCTGGAGACAGGGTCTGGCCCTTCGTAGGCACCTGCCCTGATGTGGATGTGGCCTCCGGAGGACTCGGAGGACAGAGAGGACAGGCAGGCTCCTGCCAGGTGGCCTTCCCTGACCCCTAAGTGCTGTGCCCCTGGAGCACCTGGAGCAAGTCCGTCTCCCCCTCTGGTCTCAGTTTTCCTCCCTGTAAGTGAAAGACAGTCATCTCAGCCTTGGGGGTGGGTTTGCGGGGAGTGAGTCACAAGTGTCACGTGCAGGACAGTGTGCTATGACACACGGGAGATACTCTACTCTGCTTGGGGTCTCTGTTCCCACACCTAAAAGGTGGAATGGGTGCTGGACCTCAAGCGGGGCTGCTCCCTCACCGGGCTTCTCCCACTGCTGTCCAGGCCTGGCTTGTCTCAGGTCCCAGCTCCCAGCCCCCTGGGAAAGAGTGGGCAGGTGGGCAGGGGAAGGCAGCAGAGCAGGGCTACACTGGGGCCCCACAGTCCCTCGGGGCTCTCCTGCTGCCGGCTGCCCCCAGGGCTGGCCTGTGCCCACCCTGGCTGCCCCCACACCGACTTCAGACAGCCCAGGCCCTAGTCTTCCCTCTGTCCCATCCATCAAAGGGACGGGGAGCTCCCTGAACCCAGGGTTTGGACAGGGCTGGCATGGGGTGGGGTGGGGTGGGTGTGTTCTGCCCTCTGAGGGATGGGGTGCTCTTGGGAGACCCAGGTGCTGAGCACAGTGTGGGGGATGGCCAGTGGCCCAGCCCAGGAGCAGTGAGCGCACACAAGGCAGGCGGCTATAGCCTGCAGGCTCTTACCACTAACGCCCTGCTCGCCTGGGCCAGCGGGGCACAGACTAACACATATCCCAGGGCAGTGCCCTCTAGCCAGACCTGCGTTCAGACCCTAGATTCGGACATTAGCAGGGGGGTTTGAGCAAGTCCGTCTCCCCCTCTGGTCTCAGTTTTCCTCCCTGTAAGTGAAAGACAGTCATCTCAGCCTTGAGGGTGGGTTTGCGGGGAGTGAGTCACAAGTGTCACGTGCAGGACAGTGTGCTATGCCACACGGGAGATACTCTACTCTGCTTGGGGTTTCTGTTCCCACACCTAAAAGGTGGAATGGGTGCTGGGCCCCAAGCACCCATTCAGATCCAGGCCTCAAGCACCCAGGCAGATCCAAGCCTGACAAGGAGTAGTGGTGACTCCAGAATAGTTAACACTCTTTGACCCAAACACTTGTGCAGGGGACTTGTGTTGGGGTGGGTCTGTAGAGCTGGGATTTGGGGAGCTCCCTCCCATCTCCCATGGACCCTTAGACCAAGAGCATGACCTTTACAGAGCTGGAAGGTCTGCATCCACGTGGGGTCCAGAGCCAGTGAAGAGCGACCTGGGGCTGTCCGGGGAAATGCAGGGTCCGAGAGGGACACGACAGGCCATGTCTGGGAAGAGGGAGGGATAAGGGACTCCAGGTGGGAGCGGCAGGCGAGCCTCCTGAAGTCCCCCAGCCCAGGTGTGCGCTGCAGCCCCTGTACCTCTCTGCAGCCCTGGCTCGCTCAGCACAGAGGTGAAATCTGCTTGGGAAAGCCGCAGTGTACGCTTAGGAAACAGCTCCTGGCAGTTCTAGTTTACGGCCTGCAAAGAGGCCCCAGAGGCCCCGCAGAGGGCCAGCTGGGCGCCCACCATTCACTCAAACATTTCCTGCATACCTGCGGACTCCACGTGCCTAGAGGAAGGAATGGAACACGGTCGGCCAGCTATGAGGGGTCAGCACTCACCTGCCACCCGGTTTATCTTCTTCCCAAGGCTGAACACACCCTCCAATGACCTCCTTCCCTCACTTTTGTCCTTGTTTATCTCCTGACTCCTGCCTTCAACTCAAAGCCCCAGGAGGCTGTTCTCTGCCCCAGGGCTGAGCTGAATGAAGGCTGAATGCAAGATTCTGTGTATTTTTGCCCCATATCCAGATGAGGGAACAGGCACAGGGAATTTAGGGGGATGTGCCCAGAGGCACTGTACAGGGTTGATGAGTGTCCCTTAGAAACTCATGTCCACTGGAAACAGCCTTTATTTGGAAACAGGGTCTTTGAAGATGTAGTTAGTTAAGAATCTTGAGACAAATCATCCCGGAAATCTTGAGACAAATCATCCAATGACTGGTGTCCATATAAGAGAAAGGAGAGGGTGATTTGGACACAGAAGAAGGCCATGTGAAGATGGAGGCAGATTGGAGTGACATGGCCACAGGCCCAGGAGCCACCAGGAGTGGGAGGAGGCAGGAAGGACTCTCCCCTAGAGCCTCTGGAGGGCGCGTGGCCCTGAGATACCTTGATTCTGGACTTCTAGTGTCCAGAACCTTGAGAGAATAAATCTGTTGTTTTAAGCCACCAGGTTTGTGGCGGTTTGTTAGAGCAGCCCTGGGAAACTAATATGGTCATCCAGCTAAAGGCAGTGCATCTTGGACTCAAATGAGGGGACAGATGCAGCTGTCCCCACCCCACAGGAGGCTGCTCTCCTGGGCCCAGTAGGGAGCACTGCAAGGAGAGGGGTGCGCAGGCAGGTAGAGACCCGAGAGGGCCAGAAGCCCCCACTATTCCCACTCAGGGGTGTGGCCGGGGAGGGCAGGCTGCCTCTCCTTGACTCAGTAGCCCCTCTGTACCTCTATGTGGTGGGGTGGTGGCAGTAGCTATGTCCCCCACTGGGCTATGATGGTGGCAAAATGAGCCAAGGGACAGGAAGGGACCAGGCACAAAGAGTGCGGAACAGCAGGCAGGAGCTGACGGTGTCCGAGGGCTGGGAGACCCCAGCCTTGTCATGCCGGCTGTGGGGAGGCAGCCTGTTCCTGTAGAATCTGGCAGGTGCTAAAGTTCTGAAGTTCCTTTAAGTGAAAAATAGTGGAGGGACTCAGGTAGCCTCTTGCTGCAGGCACCTCCCTGAGCTCCACCAGACTCGGGGCTGGCCCCAGGGTGCCATGGCCGGTGGTGTCTAAGCCCTCTGAGCCAGGGCCCAGCCAGTGCCCCTGCCCGTCTGGGGACTTCCAGCAGGGGATCCTAGCTGGTGGGGAGCGGCTCACAAAGCTGCCACTGGTGAGAGCCCAGACAGGAAGCAGCACTCTTGAGGACTGCACCCCTCAACACCATCCTGACATGAGTTTGGGCTTGAGTTATGAGTTACAAAGTCCCTACTATGTGCCAGGCACTATGCTGAGAGCTTTAATAATGCACCTTTGCATTTAATCTCTGCAACAACAGCCCTGTGAAGTTGGCACATTTATTAGCCCATTTTATGGATATGAAAATTAAGGGCCAGAATGGTTAAGTGACTTGCTCAAGGCCACACAGCTAGGAAGAGGCAAATGGGATTTGAACTAAGTCTGTTTGACTCCTTCCACTAAACCAAAGCAGAGAAATGAGGAGAGAGACTGCTTCCATCTCCTCCACTCTGAGAAAAAATGACTCCTGAGACCTTGTGTAGTCATGGGATTGAGACTCCCCAAAGAGAGGCTGTCCTTTGCTGTCCCTATAAGGTGGAATGTGGATGCCCGCTGACAGAGAAACTGAGGCAGACGTCCCAGCCCTCGAGCAGCTGGCAACCTGTTAGGGGGCAGAAGATGCACCTGGATGATGGTGTCCAGACTAGAACAGGAGGGTCCCGGGCTGGAAGCCCCGTGCCCACCATGATGCTAGTGAAGTGCGCACTGAGCCAAGTGAATGTGCCTGTGTCGGCAGCCAGGCTGCTGCTGGTCAAGACCACAGCCGGTGGAGCATCTGGCACAATTTCACTGCCAGGTGTGTGTGAGGAGGGGACGGCAGCCACAGCCCCCCTAAACACCCTGCTTCACTCTCCTCCCCCCACTCCCATTTTCCTTTCCGTAGAAATATCTATTTCTGAAAACAGCTCAGGAGCGGACACGCTGGGGAATCCCACTAAATAAACCATCACGTCTCCGGATCCCAGCCTTGCTCTTCAAACAAAGCTTGGGGGTGGGGGGACTTCCCACGCCCTTTCTTGTCTGGGAATTGGGCCCCCGGAGGGAGGGTCGTCTGAGGAATGCCAGCAGCTGCTGCTCCCGGGCGACAGCTGGGAAGACAGGGGGCCGCTTAGGGGAAACCACCGGCCCACCTCGACCAAAGGAGCCTCCAAACGCACAGACAGGAAACTCAGCTGCCACCTACCGACTGCGCCCTCGAGGCTCATCTGCTCATCTGCAAAATGGGAAAGTACTTCCTGCCCTGTTTACCGCCCAGGTTGTCAGGAGCACACGACCGGGGCCTGGGAAGACCCCGGGAGGGAGGCGGGCACAAGGGCTTCTGGCCCACCCGCCACCCACCGGCTGGGCGCTCCGCGACCAGCCCCGAGGCCGCGGTCTCGTCCCTTCCTTCCAGAAACACGTTGCACTGAACTTCCCTCCCGGCCCGCCCAACTCTGGCGGAGCAAGTTCTCTGCGAACTGTGTGAAGTGCTGCGGGGTCCGGGGAGCCGCTCCTCGCAGGGAGCCGGCCTAGCCTAGCCCGCGGCCAAGATCCAGGGCTCCCCCTCCCCGGGCTCTGGGGCCCCGGCCGGCTGACGGGCCCGGAGGGCGCGGCCTTACCTGTTCCAGGTGGCGTTGGCGCAGGCCCGGCGCTGCTGCGTGCCCCGCTCGTCCGCGACGGCGGTGGCCGGCTCTCTCTTGCCCAGGTCACTGAGGCTGGGCGAACTCATGAACTTCAACCTGCGGAGAGTCCTCATGGTGGGTGACCCGGCGGCTCGCCCTGCGCCCACACGCGCCCGGCGCCGCGCCCTGCGCCACGCCACGCCACGGGCCCCGGCCGGCGCCGCGCTCTCTACGAGGAAACTTGGGCGACAGCAGGAAGCTGAGCGGCCCTCCGGGGTCCCGCCCCGAACCCGCGCCTCCGCCTCGGGCCCCGCGCTGGCCGGCCGGTCGGGTTAATCATTGCTCCGAGCGGCCGCAGCGTGGAGCACCGAGAGCCCGGCAGGCGGCGCGGACCCGGCGCAAACGGAGACGGGGGCGGGGCCAAGGGCGGGGCCGGGCCGGGGGGGCGGGACCCGTGGCCCGGACAGGAGCGGGAGGGGGAGGAGCAGGCGAGGAGGCAGCACCTGGGGGCGGGGCTATTGGCTGGGGGCGGGGCCTCCGCAGCCACAGCCCACAGAATGACCCCTCAGTCCATCCTCCGGGGGGTCGTGCTCTGTCCCCTCCGCTCTTACAAGGGCCACACGTACCCTCAGGCAACTAACGCGCGCACAGCCCAACCCAAACGTCCACCCGGAGCCACCCACCGCGAACACACCCAAACGAAACACAGCAACCCTTGGCCCTCCCAGCACCCCCATCTTCAATGCCTGACCCCCTCCTCTCCAGCCCTACCCCCAAAGGCTGTGCCTACACAGGCTACTCAGGACCCCTCCACGTAGACAAGGACTCTTCCTTGTCACAACTGACAAACTCCCCTCCCTGAGCCCCAGGTCGAGGGAGTAGACCTTTGACTCCCACAGACCCCATCATCCCCAAGGCTCAGGCCTGCATGACGCAGCGTGAGCTCACATGCCCCTTGCTGGCTGGCACCAGTCAAGCCCCTAGTGGTTTTTTACCCTTTTAGAAACATCCTTACATGAAGACTGAGTTGAAGACTCCAGCCCCCCTGGGGCGCCTCAGGCCAGGACCCCAACCCACACAGGCGCAGCCTGGACCTGATACCTTAATCGCCCACCGCTAGCTTGGAGGAGTTTGGGGGGATGGGGAGGAGAGGGGCTGGGCAATTAGGAGTGGCCGCTCCAGGGCAGAGCTCAGCAAAGCTGCTGCTACGCGCTTCTCCCTCCGGATGGTGAATGAGCAGGTCTTCCCTGGCGCTGTGGCTGCTGGAGAGGGGTGGCCGGAGGGCAAAGGGAAGGCACAGCCCTGGTGCTCCCGCACGCTTTACACAGCACTTGCGGACGCTTGTCTCAGGCCAGTATCCCCTGTGAGGCAGGAATTCTTCCCATTGTCCCCTTGGGGAAATGGAAGCTCAGAGGGTGAAACAACCTGCCCAATGTCACACAGTCAACGACGGCAAAACGGGGCCACCTCAGGCCTACTGAGCACACTGCGAAGGCTCCGGGTTCCCTCCAGGCTCACCACCCGGGACCCCATCCCCTCCATCGGACAGGCAGGACCTGTGGCTGCCTCGTCATCCCCCCTCACCTTTCCTGAAGAGTGCCTGTGCTGAGCAAGTTCTGCTGCCACCGAAGCCCCAGCCCCATGTCTTCCCTCTTCCCAGGGGAATCAGTGTAGGGAGAAGAAGGGCTGATCCCAAAATCTCAGCATAAGAAGGGTGCTCAGAGGTCCCCCATGTTGTACAGAAGAGGGAACTGAGACCCAGAGCCCCATGGGTCCCCTGGGCCAGGCTGGGTGCATCTCATGTCCGTCCTCAATGGGAGAACCAAAGTACCTTCCCTGAGGGGTGGGTGGGTGGGGGCTATATACTAAGGGTGAGGGTGAGCTGACTCAGTCTGACCCATGGAGGTCAACATTATCACCCCTACTCAGAGACAGGGACCTGCACCTCAGCACGAAGGAGGCAGCAGGTGGGGCCTGGCTCAGCCCCCAGCACGTGCCCTTTCTGGGATGGCCCAGGCCAAGCAGGACAGTCTGCCAAGGCTGGGCTAAGAAACTGAGGGGCATCTTTCGTGACTCGAGGGGCCAGAGGAACCCCATATAAAGTGTACAAGAGCCTTGCAAGGAGACCCTGTCCAGTTAACACAGCCATCATTGCCTGACCACCTATTGTCTGCCAGACCTTACCTTCATCCTAGGGACACAGGGTTACACCTGACAAACTCCCCTCCCTGAGCCCCAGGTTGAGGGAGTAGAGACCTTTGACTCCCACAGACCCCATCATCCCCAAGACTCAGGCCTGCATGATACAGCGTGAGCTCACATGCCCCTTGCTGGCTGGCACCAGTCAAGCCCCTAGTGGTTTTTTACCCTTTTAGAAACATCCTTACAGAAAACCTGTCTGCTCCTTCTACCTCCACCATCACTTCGCTGCGCTCAGACAACAGACCCCTCCTGACTGCTCTCCCTGCAGCCTCACAGGTCCCGGGGTGAGCCCCTCTTCTGCATGGGGGCCAGGGCGATCCTCAGCACACCCATGTGCCCCAGTGTTTGGTGCTGCTGTGGATCCCCACTGCTCTCAAGATAAAGTCCAGAGCCTGGAATCCTTGAAGGGGTCTTCCCTGCCTCTCCCCTGTGCCCCCAGCCCCTAGAACATCTTTCAGCGATGGCTGTCTCCCCCTTCTCTGACTGCCTTCACCGAATCAGGCTTGGGGCACCTCCTCTGATCATGTGGCAACTTCCAAACACTGCTCTAAGTCGGGGGCCCGCCTTCTTATAACTGGTTTACTACTACATACCCGAGCCCAGCACCCAGTAGGCACGCAGTACATGTTTGGTTGAAAGGATAGATAAACATCTTTCACAGGTTGGTGCAAATACTTCGTAAAAGGAGACACACTGGACAGATGGACATAGAGCTGTGGTGATGGGCACTGGTGTGAATGCAGCAGAACAGAACCCTTGGGTCAGGCTGTTTCCTGGTTGGGACAGGATGAAAGATGGCTTCCCAAGCGGGAGGCAGTCTCTCTTAGGGGAGGGCTGGCTTTGTTTGCTGCTAGCTCAGTGTGCGAGGCAGGCCGGACTGCTCTGGATAAGAAATCAGCATGTGGCAAGGACAACCCAAGGTGCAAGGAGAGGGAAGGGGAGAAGAAGAGTAGCTGGGCAGGGGTCTCGGTGAAAAGGGCTTGGGAAGGGCAGTCTGAGAGAAGTGTGGGAAGCAGGGTCTGGAAGAAGTGGTCAGCAGAAAATACCGGAGGTGGGAATGAGGGATTTCAAAGCCCCTTGTAGTTCGCATTAAGGAATGAGCTGAAACCACGACCATCCCTGAATGCACGTCTTTGTAAAATCTGTCTGCACCCCATAGCCCAGTGCTGGGGAGAGTGGAGACTCAGGTGAAGGTGCCACTGGCCTGTGTTTGGGTTGGTGACAGGCAGAGAGGGGCGCAGGGGTGGGGGGCTCAATGGCCCAGGGGAGCAACCAGCCGCCAGGGCTGGAACCTGAGGCAGGGGCCAGAAGACAATGCCACTACAACCTCCCTCCACCCCAACTCCGCCCACCCAAGTAGGGGGCAACGGAGTGGCTGATGGCCAAGTCCAGCCCCTACATGTGTTCTGTACAGCCTGTACTGCGGGGTAAAACCCAAAGACTCCAACTGATGCAGCCAAGGTTTTACAATAAAGAGATTAACATAGAAACCCTGATTTCTGGCTCCCTGGGAAGCATCAGGTGACCCGGCCTCCTGGGTCTGAGGCTCCATGTGACTGCGGCTGCTGAGCTGCTGCCCCCACGTGCAGGCAAAGGGGCTCCGGGTGCCCAGGGAGCCCTCCCCTCTTAGGTGACCTCTAGGCCCTATAAGGGGTTGGGGGTTGAGCCAGGGAAGGGAAATGCCCTCTATCAAAGGGAATGGGACACTAGGGGGACCTATCTGTGTGGCCCCCCAAACTGCCAGAGTGACTATGCTCTGAGAACTGTGTTGTCCCCGGTGGCTTCAACCATGTCCTCTTCTCCCCCAGGACACAAACTTTGTTCCATCCCCCCACTGCCAGCAGGGGTGTCAGGAGCTGGTACAGGGGGACCCCTAGAGCTTGTCCTACTGATAGGGGAGGGAGCCCTCGGTTGGGCAGCCAGAACCAGGGAATCAGCTCACCCCTAATGGGGCCAGGTGGGAAGGGGGCCCAGAGGACAGCAGAGAGGTGCCCACTTCAGTCACACTGCCTCATCTAGTCTCCACAAGGCTGCTGCTGGGGGTTCCGGACAGAGACACTGGGACTTGGGGAGGCCGAGACACATGTCCAAAGTCAGAGTCAGCAAGTGGCAGAGCGGAAGCTGGAGTCAGGCCAGCCGGACGGGGGAGAGGCGGCTGCCAGCTCTGTCACTCTGACGCTGACCTCAGCCGGCCTGTGCCCTGCCCACCCCGGGCACTGCAGGACACTTCTGCCCCCTGGTGTTGGAGCCTGGTGCTCCCCAAAAGTTGACTGGGAAAGTCCCCGCTGCTTGCTGGGGAACCTGTGGATCAGTGGGCTCTGCACCCTAGGGTCCTGGACCCCAGGGGCTTAGCAATGTGCCGGGCACAGGGAGCCTTAGGGGGAGTGCCTGGCTCACCCTCCTTTCTCCAGGATGGACAGCGATGGTGACACACCTGCCCCACAAGGACGTAAAGTGGGACAAGACATTTCTCATAGTCACAGGGTGCAGTGCACACCCAGAGCTTGTAACTGTGGGTTGTTATGGTTTTAGGGCAGAAAGAGATTCCTGAGTCAGGGCTGTGACATGGGGTAAGCTCATGTCACCCATGGTGACTCCAGCATCAACTGTGATCAGGCTGGTCAAACAGACATTTTGCAAAGCACTGGTTCTCAGTGACAGTCCCAAGGCTGGACACCTGAAGGCTGGAGGGGCGTTGGGCCCATCAGAAGCAACATATGTTGTACTTCATGAAGGGGGGAACTCACAGAGGCTCCCCAGGCCAAGCCTGGGGTGGTCACTCCAACAGCAAAGGTGGTGAGTCCTGCTTACCAGCTGCTGCAGAGGAGTTGTGCCCTCTGGTGGCCTCAGAGTCAGTATAAACTATTATTACCCCATTCACAGATGGGGAGACTGAGGCTGAGTGAGGTTAGGTTGCTTGCTCAAGGGCTGTCAGCTAGAAGGTGTTGGAGCTGGGGTACCATACTGCTGGTGAGTCCACCTCCCTCTGGCTTTAATGAACCATATGCCAGGTGCTCTTCTAGGTGTTAGGACAAGAAGGACAAGGTCTCTACCATCCTGGGGAAGCTCAGCATCCCTGCCTAGCGCTGCCATCTCCAAATGTCGCCATGCCCCCTCAAGATTCCCTCTACTGGCTAAGCCCCCACCGCTGCCCCACTGCCCTGGGGACCCCGTCTGGGGCCTTTTCCCTGCTGGTGGCCTCCACCCACTGCTGTCAGAACCCTCCCCCAACTTCGGTTCTGGAGCCCAGTTGTAGGGGTGAGGGGGTTCCGATCAGCAGATAACCCCACAAATGCAACCACACAACATGAGGCCTTGAACAACCAGCTCCCAAGGCACTTCCTGGACAGACATTGTATACTGCTGGTTCTGCTCTATGAATAGGTGCCCCGTGGAAGGGAGGGTACTGGCGGAGTAGGAGGGTGGCAGGGCAAAGATCACAGGCTTCACAAGCCCCCAAATTGGGTCTACTCCCCACTCGGCCACCTCCCCTGCCAGCCCCTTAACCTCCTGAACCTCATCTCCTCCATGGAATGCAGAACACGAGATAAAAGCACGTACTCCCAGCATGGTGTGAGGATGCAATGGCGTTTTTGGAACTTACTAGGTACAGGATGGCTGTGTTGCAGCAATCACCCCTTACTTCCCATAGCGATTCCACGACAAGGCAGCTCCTCCCAACATCCCAGTTTACAGGGGAACCAACTGGGGCCCTGAAAGGTTAAGTGACTGGTTCAAGGTCACACGGCCAGGCCAGGATTCCAACCCAGGCCACCTGGCTTCTGCATTGGTGCACTTGACAACCTCCTTCACAAATGAGACAGTGCGTGTCTGCCAGGGACCCAGCACAGAGCAGGCCTGGAATAAACAGCCACTGTTCCTTTAATCAACATCATGCACAGAGGCCATGTTGGCAACGGGCAGGGTCGGGAGGCCTGGGCCCCCGCCACCCAGGTACCTGTCCCTCCCAGCCTTCTGTCCAGAGAATGACCCTGCGCGCCGTCCAGCCCTACATGCTCAGTCTGGATACAGACAAAGCAATTGGCTTGCAGGGCTGAGTCGGAGTAATGCAGCCAGAAGTGAAGGAACATCAAGGATCGCCAGCAGCCACCAGAAGCCGGACGAGCCAAGGAGGGAATCTTGGCCCTGTTGACACCTTAACTTCAGGCTTCTAGCCTCCAGAACTGTAAGAAAATCAATTTCTTCATAAGCCTCTCAGTTTGCGGTAGTTTGCTAAGGCAGCCGTAAGACACTTTACCCTAAGACACAACTGATGCTGCCTTACCCCGACGAGGCCTCCTGCTCTGGGCCCTGGATTTGGCCTCCACGCCCATGGAATCCCACGTCCAAATATGGAAAGGTTAGGCCGGTGCTCAGCCAGCTGGAGACACCTTCCTGCCCCTGCTTTGCTTCCTGTGGTGGGTGGGGGCCTGAGCAGTCACAGCTCTGGCCTCTGCAGAGTAAGAGCGCGCCATGAGGATGCAGTGTCTGGGTGGGGGGACCTGAATATCCGCAGCGACCCTGTGAGGCAGGCCCCATTATCATGCCCACTGTGCAGACGTGCAGACCGAGGCCACACAGGTCAGCTGAACGGGCTGGGATGGGCTTCCGGCTTTATTTCTCCCCAGGGCATCCTCTTGGCCAGCAGCCTTTTCACAGAAGAACCCTGGAAGGGAACAACTACTGCTCAGGATATTAGAGCTCGCCCTGGCGATGGGGGCGCCCCGGAGGGGAGCCTGGGCTGCCAGCAGCTCCGTGCAGGAAGGGGCCCTTAGGAGGCACTTTTCCACTCACTCCATTACTCTGCCAAATGGCAGGTGAGGAGGAATTACTGCCCTACTTGGGGATTCAGATCCAGCAAGGTGTGTGGGAAAGGTGGCATCAAAACGTGGCCTGTGTTCTTGACTTCATAAATGAAGCCCGGTGGGCCCAGGGAGGAGGTGGTATCAGGTGTCTAGACTCTGTCCAGTCCAGGGCTTCCCTCACAGCGTGGGGGCAATCACCCAGGATGGCTTTCCACTGCCATCCTCTGCTTCTGCTAGAATGCACTTTGAAGTGCATGAAGGGATGGATTTAATGAAAGAGAAAATGCTGCTGAGATTCCCCCCAGGGAGGTAACAAGCACCCGGTACTGAGTCCTGCGCCGGCCAGCCTGGCCCACGTGTCCTGAGTGTAGCCCTGCCAGGCGTGCGGTCTCATCTCCCACTGCAGACGGACACTGAGGTCCCAGATCCTGATGTTACTGCACAGTCAGGCTGGGGAGGGGCAGGGCGGGGGACACTGGGGTCCCCATTCCAGTGCCTGGCTTCCCCATAGTGAGCTGTGGACGGAATTCAGGCAGGCACCAGCTTGGAGGAGGCCAGAACCTCGGAACCTGAAGCCCAGGCGGTGCCGCTCCCCTGCCGTCCTCCCAGCCCCTGCTGGGCCCCAAACCCAGGCCCCGCCCTCTGGCTCGCAAGCTCCTGTGGGCTCAGGGCTCCTCTGCCACCACCCACTCCCCAGACGCAGGGCCTCCGGGCCCCGCAGCCGGCTGGAATCTACCTTGCTGCCAGCACACTCACTGGGCCACCCAGATGTGACCTACCCCGCCTCCCCAGAGGCCTCAGACAAGGCCCTCTGCCTGCAGGACAAACTCCAAATTTCCGAGCTTGGTGTCCAAGACCCTCTGCAGTCTGGCCCCGGCCTTCCATTCCTTCCGTTTCTGCTTCGTCTCCCACTGAGCAACTCCAGGCCCCTTTCTGCCACCACGCCCTTGCTAAGAGACAAAGTGACTGTTTGTTCCCCAGACTTGCTGCCTGCTTCCGCCTCTGGGCCTTCGCCCAGGCTCTGCCCTCTGCCAGGGTAGCCCTAACTCCCTTTCCTCTGCGTTTCTTTTTCAGTGAATGCAATAGTCATAATAAGAGGCGGAAGGGTGTTGTGGTGCGGCAAGGGGCTGTGGAGCCAGGCCACCCGGGCTGGATGGTGGCTTTACCAGTTAACAGCTGTCCACCTGGGGCTTCTTATGTCTGCTCAGGTGTGCCTCAGTTTCCTCACCTGTCAAATGAGAACCCTAATAAGACCTTCCTCCCTGGGTGACCTTGAGGCTGTAGACTATTCACAGGTGCCAGATGCTTAGAACGGGCCTGGCACCCAGTGGGTGCTCCTCAGCATAAGCCATTATCAACAGCTGGCCTCCTGCTTGACATGCCTGGGCCCACACCCCAGTGATACAATCCTTCCTCCTGACTCAAGGCAGCCAGTAATCCCTAGGCTGTCATCCCCCTGCCTTGTGCTAGGGTCCCAGGACTGCTCCCGCCCAGCCCATCAGACTGGGTGCTCCCTGAGGATCTGGCTCCTGCCTACAGAGGTTCGAGGTAAATGCCCGATGGAGGCTGACGAAGACTTTTTCTTCTTTGACCTGACTTTAATCAAGGTCCTCAGAGCCCTCTGCTGGACTAGACCTGACCTGGAGCTTCCCTCTCTGTCCTTGGAGAATCGGTCTGAGCAAGAATCCTGCTAGGCCAGTTCAGCCAACCCACCCTCACGATATCTTACCACCCTGGCCTGCCATTGGCAAGAATTCTGGTGAGTGGTCAGCAAGAATCCCCCTTACCCGAGATGTTTCCTTTCCCAGCTGCACACTGCATCATCCTTCAAAAATCCATAGGAATTCCCCGGTCACTTCTGGCCTGAGGGTAGCAGATAAGGGACGTAGGATTTGCATAGATGGGAAGATGAGTCACAGAGCTGGTAGGTGGCCGAGCTGGATTCCACCGGCCTCCCAGTTGGCCTGCAGTTTAGTAGAAGAGTTAGAGACAGGTACCTAATGGGCTCTGGAAAGTGCTTGGGAAGAGGGGGTGGTCCACATTATGATTATGATCATTCTGTGGATCATGAGCATATGAGCATTATGATTATTCTGCATGGACCACTTAAAGGTTGGCAGGCTGGATGATTTAGAGGCCCACACAACCTGAGAGCGCCCTTCCTATGATCTCCCGGAAATGCCGCGTAAGAAGATGACAAACATCTAAATGTACCTGAGCTTGTAAGAAAGTGAAACAATCACCAGAGGCCAGGATGATAATATTACTATCATCACTAAGCTAATCTTATTACTCTACTTATATTTAATATTGACTTTACTGAAGGCCAGTATAATGCTTGAAATTTGCAGTAGTTCAGCACAGAGCGATGCTCTCCATGCCTTCAGGTATCAAGCACTTGCAGCCACCCCACCCCACCAACTGCTGTCCCCATTTCACAGCTGGGGAAACTGAGCACATCCCACACCAGTGGAACTGGGATCCAAGCCCAGGCAGGCTGGCTCCAGAGCCTGTGCGTTCTTACTTCTCACACTCTGTTAATTACGCTCTAAGTAGTATAATGGTTAAGCCACAGGAAAATGGGATCTAAAAGCTTGGACATTATGTGAGGGCGTGGCAGCCTTGTGGGGTAGGAGAGGGTGTGGAGGCAGATGTTAACACCAGCGGTCAGGAGGTGAACCATGGGCAAGCAGGCCAATGGCAGGGGCAGTTGAGCACTTCAGGGAGTGCCAAGGGTCTCGACGGACTGCACCCTTGATGAATGGGTGGCCATTCAGAAAAAGATCTGCCCACTGATAGAGATGACAAGAAAACATGTCCATGATAAAGAAGGTATACATAATGGAATATTATTCAGCCATAAAAATAAAAGATTTCTTCCTATTTGCAACAACATGGGTGGATCTAGAGGGTATTACGCTCAGTGAGGTAAGCCAGGCAGAGAAAGACAAATACCAGATGATCTTACTCATTTGTGAAGTATAAAAACAAGGCAATACAGAAGGGACAAAACAGTAGCAGACTCATAGACACCGAGAGGGGACTAGTGGTTACCAACGGGGAGGGGTTGGATGAGTGGCGGGTGAGGGTGAAGGGGATAAAGGGGCACAATAATTCGCAGTGATATTAGTTGGTACAATACAGTAGTACAGCATGGAGAATACAGTCAATGATTCTGTAAGATCTTACTGTGTTGATAGATAGTAACTGCACTAGAGGGGGTGAGGATTTAAAAATATGGGTAACTGTTGAACCACTGTGTGGCATATTTGAAACCAACATCAGATTGTATATCAACAATACTTTAATTAAAAAGAACAAAAAAACAATGAACAAAAACAGGTGGCATGCCAGATTCAGCCCTTGGGCAGCCATTTAGCAACCTCTGCTTTAGGAAACGAAAACAGTACAAAAAAAAAAAAAAAAGAAAACATGTCCGTGTCCACCTAAACTCGAGGCAGGAGAAAGAGGGCAAGTCTGAGATCCTGGAGCCCTAGCTCTGTCCTCACAGGGGCAGAGCTTGACTTTACATGACAGAGAAGGCCTAAACCAATGGACACAGAAGGGATTCCAGGCTGCTGCCAGCCCTGGGCTGCCGGCCCAGCAATCATTAGATGCTCTGGAGGGGCAGGTCCACAAGTCAGGCCTCCTGGGGTTTCCCCAGACAAAGCCTAGCTGAAAACACACTCCTGATCTCCAATTACACACAAGGAAGCAGACCTTCCAGGAGGGAAGGAAGGCAAGTGCGACAAATGTCAGGATGAACTCCCAAGAACTTCAGCCAAGAAACTACTGGAAAGACACTGTAGAATGAATTTACTTAATATAATCAAAGACATCGAAGAAAACAAGAACAGTTTGGGATGTTATAAAGCCAGTTGCTTGCTAGGAAGCCGATGTCCCAGGCATGGGTCACAGTGGTTCCAGCTTGCTGGGCACCTCCCCCAGGTGGGAAAGAGGGCGGCATCTGCGGGAAGGGTGCACCATGCCGCCTCAGTGAGCATTTCCAGGTGGTCCTTCCTTGTCCACAGTCTGTGTAGAAGTCCCAACCAACTCAGTGCTTGGGTGCGTCCAGGAGGGCGTTGGGCACCGAAGCCCACTCCTGTCTGTGTCACAGCAAAAACGTCTAGCCCTGCACACAACAGATGCCCTAGAGTGTAAGCTCGAGCTTTCTGCTGCTGCATGCCTAACAAAGGCCCAGCTGGGAGAAATCATATTCACACAGTCAGGTCCAGAGGATATGCCCGCCCCCTGTCACACTAGATGGGAGCCTGCAAAGCTGGGATCCTGCAGTCCCTGGAGTTTTTCAGTATTTGTGGACCCCTGACACAGTCTGTGTAATTCCTGAATGTGAGTGTGCCTTTTGTTGGAGAGATGGGTGGGATTTTCATGGGCCTCTTTGAGAGGCCTGGGACCCCACCTTAAGGTGAAGCTGAGGGGTGAGCCTGGCCCTTCTGTGTGGAGCATCGTTGTACTCAAAGATTTGGAATGGGGGAGGGAAAACGTTCTCTTCGTAGTTAAATACACAAGGCTCTATGACAGACTAAGGGGAAATCCACATGGATTTTGAAGATAACATGAAACTTCAGTTATCTCAAGCTTATAGGCTTCATTGGGTCCCTCCAGCAGACCTCTTGAGGATGCCCCCGCTCCTTCTCCCCTGCAGTTAGGAGAGCCTGAGGACCCTGCTCCAGACCCCAGGTCCTTGAATCAAGCCAGACCACAGGAACACTGAGAATGCTGCTTACCACATCACATGGGGGGCCCTTTATGAGCGCCCCTAGGAAGATCATCCCTTGGGTCTCATTACCAGGAAAAGCTGTGCTTTTATCCTAAGGGTATTATGAATCTAGTGAGTGAGCCTCTTTCCCCTTTTGCTCTTTTTGCTAGGAAGCTCAAATTAAAAAATTCAGTCCATATCTCACATGTATTCCAGACTTCCTGGCATGGTTAAAAAAAAATCTAGGTACATCTTGATAATGATTATAACACTAACACAACTATAGGAATTGCATTGTGAGCATTTTCTAACCATCAAGCACAGGCCTGAAGGACTGTACATAATACAGTCATGTTGTCACATTACCCTCTGATACAGGGATTGCCATCCCGCTGTACAGACAAGGCTGATGAAGCAGTGGGAGGTGAGATGATGTTCCCATGGGCACATGTGCAGGGGGAGCTGAGCAGGGGGCATTTCCCCTGGTGGCCCACATAGCAGTGGAGCAGCAATAATCAGACTCAGCTTCCCGGGTGGGGGAGAAAGAGGCCTGGAGGATTCTCTCCCAGAGGCACCTGGAGGTAAGAGGCCCTTCTCCCTCACCCCCTGGGTCCCCTGAACCTCCTCCAGCCCTCCCCCTCCTTACACACCTGTGTCTGGGGTGCCTACGCTTTCCTTGTCCATGAACTCAGTTTAAATTTGGGACCCAACACAGGGCGGCTAAGAAAGGGCACTTAACGAAAACCACCTGGGCCTCCTTTGTGACAAGAAAGGCCATTTCAACACCATAAAAGCAGAAAATAAGGGTGAGGGCTTTGCATGGAAGGACACTGAGGTGACCTTGTTCTGTCGGTGCCTCCACCCACATTTTCCCGACCAGGAAATAGAGGCCCAGAGGGAACTGCCCTGCCCCGGTGGCACAGCACGTGAGTGGGAGGCTTGAGATCTGAGCCTAGTTCGGACCCGGAGGCCACACCCCTCACACTGTCCCTCTAGGACACCGACTGCCTTGGGGAGTTCTGAGGAGCCTTTAGCAGTGGCCACATTTCAAATCGGCCTGGAAGGAAGGCTGTTCGCAGCTGGGCCAGGGTAGGCCACAGACCAGAAGGGGAGGGGGGGCCCCCAGGGTGCGTGAGGACACCAGCTGGGCCATCAGTGGGGGCCGGTCCCTGTGGTCAGCCTCTACACTTGTCCCAGTGTAATCTCAGAGTGGTCCACCACCGGGGACAGTGCCAGGCCACACAGGCAGTCAGGAGGTGACCCTTGGGCCTCTTGATGCCCCTGGCTCCAGCACGCTTCACCCCAGAGCTGCAGATCCCAGACCTGCTTGGTGGGTGGGGCGCGGCTGGTGGTCAGACAGGCAGGGTGTCCCTCCAGGACTGGCCCCTGCACCCCCAGGAGCCCTGGGACCTGGGCTGGGGAATGAAGCCGAGCGAGGGTGAGGGCCATTTCCGGGCAGGTGGGAGGGCAGGAGCCGGGTCTGTAGGTAGTGTGAGGGGTGAGAGGCCCACCGGGCAGGAGGCCTGGAGGCTGGGGGAAGAGTGGGTGCCAAGCTGCTGGCCTTGGGGTGCATGAGGGAGTTTGGAGGGGAAGGCTTCAGGAGGACCGCCACCTGGGGTTCAGACCCCACGCCCCCCTCTCCACAGGTGACCTCCATGGGAGGCCCGCCAGCACAGGCCTCCCCAGTGCCCAGACTGCCCAGCCTGAGTCCCCCTGGGCCCACCGTCAGCAGCAGTGGGAAACTTCCCTGGGTGGCTGGCTCTTCTCCGCGCTGAGGCAAAGTGGAGGACGCCTCGCCTGCGCTGTTCCTGGCCTCTCTGTGACTCGGGGGGCAGGTCTGTCCCCCTGCCTCTGGGACCTCAGCGCTGGGGCCCCTGCTGCGTGGAGCCCTTCTGGCTGGTTGTGAAATCAAGCTCACTTCCCAGTTCTGCGGGCTCTCCGAGAGCCCTGTCCTCAAGGTGCCTCTTGTCCCCCTAACTAGCTGCCCGGCTGATGCCCCAGCCAGACTGCAGAGCACGGTCCCAGTGAGGACTCGAGGCTGGGGTCTTCACAAGTTCTAGGATGGCACTCGGTTTGATGGATGATGTCACATTCTCATGCCACGCTACAAGTGACAGATGGGGCTCTGAAGGCAAAGTGACAAGTAAGGGCTGCAGGAGGGGCCAGCCATCCCAAGTGGGGCTCTGGGGACAAACAGAACTGGGTTTGTAGTGCAGCTCCGTCACTCACTGTGACTTAGC